ATTTATGTTTTTATTTTAAATCAATTTTTAGGTTAAATATGTAATGCTCCTTATCTGTTGTTTTCTATTTGTGATTATATGTACACATCATGTTACATTCTATATACAGTGTTTTAAGCAGGTTTTATTCATTAATTCATATGCAGCTCTCAGCTATTTAATTTAACAGCAACTACTATATTAAGCAGAGCAGCAACTCCAAAAGATCATGTATGTACGTAGTGGGCATTGGACAGCATTCCCTTCATCCCCCATAAAACCATAACTTACCCCTTCAAATAACAACAGACAACTTCTTGGAGAAAACAGGCCACAACATTTATTAACACAACCAAATACTGTATGAGTCCATTAACATATAACGAAATAATAAATATAATAAATTAACATAAACAATTTGCATATAGTCATACAGTAACCAAAGAAACTGTCCTTGCCAATCTAACTTCCCCAAGGCTCTCACCTCCCCCCCTCGGCATAATAAAAACATCTTTTTTTCAGGGCTCCCCACCAACTCGGTGGGGCCCAACCATAATGCTCCTCACTGGTCGACTTACAACCCAGTGGGGACACGTCCAACCTGGTACCTTCTCCAGGTTCACCATAAGAGACAGGGAGAGGATGAGACCCGGCCATTATCCCCCTTTTTCATCTAATCCACCAAACCATCCCTTATTTGGCAAGGACACACCCCGCCACAACCCCGCTGTTTTAAGCCTAAAATCAGCGGGGGACCCCAAACAAACTAACCATGGCCTGTTCCACCATCTCTAGAATGGCCAGATTAAAACGGTCGAGCCCGACCTCAGTCAAATGAACCCCATCTGGCCGCAACAAATCTACCGCCTCCTTCTCAAAACCTGATGAAATGGGCATCCCCCAAACCCCTATAACGAACCGCGAAACCCAACGGTTGAACCCTTCGCGGCAGCACTCCAACGCACTCCAGATGTGTGCCTGCCACCAATAGTTCCTCGCCACAACCTCCGACCACACCATGCAAAAAAAACCCAGAAATGACATAAGGATCTGGGACAAATCCCGCTTCCCTATGTCCACCAAGTCTGCGAGCGGCACCGTCCCCAGGTCAGTACCCCCACAGGGGGAATGACCAGAACCAATGACACCCCCCCCCCGCAAGCAAGAGAACCTGACCACTTCCAGGAGGAGCCAGACCCACTTCACGTCCCCCCGGCGCTGAACCACCGAACCTCCACCGTCGAGTGCTCAATCATCCGCCCTGAGAAGGAAAAAAACAATCAATGGAGCAAACCAGCGTCCTGCACACCGGAACAAATCTCCTAGAGTCCCACCTTCTTATCCTCCGCACATCCCGAGCCAGCATACCCAGCCAAGAGGCCTCCATCGCATCGCCAATGCGGAAAGAATGACTGCCATTCCACCCATACCCTGGAGTACCTTGGCCCCAGAGGAACTGGACCTATACGACACATGAAGACACGGGCACCGTAGCAACAGGCGCTGGAGCAGGGGAAGTACCAAAAGAGAAAAGGGGGACCGAGAGCTGGCTAATCGCCTGGAAAACCCCGAGGTGGCACGGTGAATAACAACCGACTGTGCTGTAGCTCCCGACCCCATAAATCCAAACCACCACAACCGGAAAGCTCCAGGAAGGCAAGATTCCCGGTCAAGCCGCCGACCATGTCAGCACAGTAGCGTGATCCCAGAATCGCCCCAACCAGACAGAGCCAGCCGCATCTGTATAGAGGGGCAAGTCAGAACTGGACACCTCCGGCACCTGCCAAGATGACCTTCCAATATACTCGGTCAGGAAGGAAACCCAGACGCTCCAGCACCGGATAAAATGCCCCATGGGCCTGATCCGGCACTGGAAGGTGAACCTCCCTAACAGGGACTGCAACTTGCACAGCTGCATCCTCCTCAGACCCCTGGCCATCGCCACACCCTCTCAACCTTATCCCGTGGCAGCCAGCACACCATGGTCACAGAGTCAATTTTGATACCCAAGGAGCTAAGGCATGTCACTGGGCCGCACTGTCTTATTGCGCTCTAAGAGGACCCTAAAGTTCTGCCGAGTCGAGCAAGAGTCGACAAGTCAGCGAAAGCCCACACACACAAGCCATCAAGGTAACGCAGCAACGAGCCAATCCTTGCCTCCTGCCGCACCACCCACGCCAGGAAACCGCTGACACACTCAATGTAAAAGCAGGACATGAACAACACATCAGGAAGCACGTATCCACATAATACCGACCACAAACCCACCACCCAGGAGGATGACAATCCATTTGAACTGGCAACAAGCGAAACGCGGCTCTGACTACGGCCTTCGTTAGCAAAGCCCCAGGGCCCACTGCCCCGACTATGCAGCATCGAAGGGTGCCTAGGACGCCCATCTTTCACCGAAACCCCTTGAGGGCAGGGTAAACGATGAATCAGACGAAAATCCCCTGCCTCCTACTTGGGCACCAGGCCAAAGGGGGACCTGCACCTTGGGGAGCGACGGGGCCTCAACTGACCCCGTGAACCACCCCAAAGCTACCACCCGCAGGAGCTCATCCAGCACCATCTGCAGGAAGTCGAGCACAGACTTAGAAACATAAACATAGAATGTGATGGCAGATAAGGACCATTCAGCCCATCCAGTCTGCCCAAGTTTCTAACCACTGACATTAGTCCCTGGCCTTATCTTATAGGTAGGACAGCCTAACACATATCCCACACCCACTTAGACTCCTCTACTGTGTTAACCTCTACCACTTCAGCTGGAAGGCTAGTCCATGCATTCGCTACCCTTCTGTTAACGTAATACATCTGGGTACAATTGTGAAACCCTCGCCCCTCCAATTTAAGACTATGTATTCTTATTGCGGAAGTTTTACTTCTTTTAAACATAGTCTCCTCCCTACTGCAGTGATTCCCTTGAAGTATGTAAACTGTCTATCATATAGCGACTTTCACGCCAGGCGCTCTGAGAAGGGGATCCCAAAGTCTCGGGTGACCCCCTCCAGCAGGGGCCCCATGGCCTGCCGATTCCAGTAGCGGTCGAGCCATGGGCGCATCACGCTTACGAGCACTGGCGTCACCGCCCTGCGCCCGCACGTCCCCTTTTTTCCCCCTACCTACCCCTCTTGAAACAGCCAGAGGCAGAGTGAGCCCCCACCATGATGGCAGCGTTTGAGCTTAAAAATTGCTGCGAGGCTGCAGGGGTGGAGCTGCCCCCCAAGGAGAGGAGGACAAACCCCCTTTACGCGCCACAGGGCGGATTACGATGGAGAGCCAGGGGCCGAAGTCCATCCGATTCCACGCTACAGAGGGCAAAACCGCAAAGCGCTGATGAAATGTATTTCATAGCGCCACCAACCCAGGCCACCATAAGTATGACATGCATTCCAAGTGGTGTTTTGGTAACAAAAGAGCACCACGACGCGCAGCCCTCTCCCCAACCATGCTCTCCAGAATAGCGAACCCCAAACCCAAATCGCCAACGTCTTAGGAATTTCATAGAACGGAACTATACATCATCGCCCCCCAAGTCCTACCCCCCTTTGTGCCCCAGGGGAAGAGCATCCCCTCCATGGGCCAAAGGGGAATATCTTACGCGACTGCGCAAGGGAGAGGGGGGCACAGCCCCCAATGAGGGAGAGGCCCAACTCCCCTCCAATTGTCGCACTGAGGACTGAGCGCACTGCCACCCAGCCACCGGTGGATACACCGTCGCACCAGGAGGGTACTACACTGAGCGTGGCTGACCGTTACCCTGAACCCGCCTAGCGCAGGCTCACCTTACGGCACCCCAGGAA